TAAAGAACCAGAAAACTTCCCTTACTAAAGTCTCCAGGAAGCAAAGTCACTCCTTACACTTCACTCTGAAATGCTTATCTACTGAGTTTCTGAGGAAATATAGGATGGATTTGCATTCTTCAAATTGTTCATGGAAAATGCATTGTAGGAAAAACTGTGGCATTCAAAATAATTTAAATCGAAATAAATATTAAATTTTTTTTTTTTATATTTTCAAAGGCAGCTTTTTAGAGAGAGAGAAAGATGAAGACAGAAAGAGAGGTCTTTCACCTGCTGGTTCACTCCTCAATTGGCCAAAACGGCCAGAGCTGGACTGGGCTGATTTGAAGTCAAGAGCCAGGGAGCCAGGAGTTTCTTCCAGGTATCTCACCTGGGTGCAGGGGCCCAAGGCCTTGGAACATCCTCTACTTATTTTCCAGGCCAAAAGTAGGGAGCTGGATGGGGAATAGAGCAGATGGGACTTGAACTGGCACCCTAATGGGGCGTTGGCTCAACAGATGGAAACTTTGCCTAATATACCATGATGTTGGCCCCTCAAAATAAGTATTGTTCAATTCACTTTCAAACTTTTGAAGTACCTTCATATGTAGTGGAGTGTACTTTGGTGTGCTTATTGACTGATTGAAAACGCTATTGTTAATTTATATTTTTCGTCAAAAACAGATTTGAGGGATCTATTAATGGGCAGCAAGTTAAGCCTCTGTTTATAATGATGGCATTCCACATTAGAACAGCAGCTTAAGTCCATTACCCCATTTTGCATCCAGAACTCTCTGCTAACGTACCTGGGAAAGCAACAGAAGCATTTCAAACATCAGAGCTTCTGTCTACCCTGTGGGAGACCCAGATGGAGTTAATGACTTCTGGCCAGGTCCAGCCTTGGCTATTGCAACCATTTTGGGAGTCACCCAGCTGATACCACACACTGTCTCTTTCTGTTTCTCTTGTTATGCCTTTCAAATAAAGAAACCTTTAAAAATATTTGATTTTGTGATCAAAGGATTAGGAGATGAATGACTAAGTCAATGAATATTTAATACTTAAGGTCAGACATAAGTTTCGTGAAGACATTGAACTCTACTGAATAAAGTTTCTTGCCTTTATTTTACTTTGCAAATTATATACTTCATAATTTTCTCTGCAAAACACTCATGGAAATGCAGATCCTTTTACTGACTGTACAAAACATCTCCCTGGAATTTCCTGAACATCAGACTGTCCTCCAGGTCCTCCATGCCATAGCTCACAAAGCTCCTGTTACTTAGAATATCCTTTGTCTATTAATTTGTGGTCTACAACTACTCATTCTCCACTTTAAGGTCAAACATTTCTTTTTTCCCAGGCTTAAGGATTAACTTATTTATTTGCACAACAGTCATTCATAGAGCACCCACTCAGTGTCTACCATTGCTCCCCTGTCTGAAAGTGCTAAATTACTCCAGGAAGTTGTGACTTGGTGTGAGACAAGTTTGAGAAGTTGTTTACAATGGAGGGGGATAAGTACACTGGGAGAACTTGGGCATGATAGGAAAGCAGGGTGAATATAGTGGGAGGCTCAGACAAAGCAATCTTTGAGCTGAGTTCTGAAGTCTAAAGAAGTGGCCAAGAAATGAGGAAGAAAGGGTGTGAGCAAGAGTTTTGCGGTTTCTTTACTTGATAATTATTTTAACCAGAGACCTTTGATGGAATGCCAAACTGAACTAAAGAGTGTTTAAGTGATCAGATTTACAGTTGTAAAGTACTTTGAAGGAGGGGTAAGGGAATGTTTTCTGCATTAGTCTCTCAGTGTTTCCTGCTACTCCTTGTTGTAGTTGCCAGGATTCTACCATCTATCAGAATACTAACGGTGGTGATACATATGGAGTGTGAGGATTTTCTGCTGCTACAATTCAGCCATATGCATGGTTAATTTCTAGCCTTGGCTTTCATGAGTTTCTGGCAGCATAGTCTACAGTTTTCCTCTCTGTCATGTGTATTTTACCTGTACACTCTGGATCAATGTTGTTCAAAACGTTTCTGACTCACAGACAGACAGAGAGGAAGATCTTCCATCCATGAATCACTCCCCAAGTGGCCACAACGGCTAGAACTGTGCCCTTCCAGAGCCAGGAGCCTGCAGTCTCCTCCGGGTCTCCCATGTGGGTGCAAGTGTTTGGGCCATCTTTGACTGCTTTCCCAGGCCACAAGCAGGGAGCTGGATGGCAAGCAGGGAGCTGGGATTAGAACTGGCACCCATATGGATCATGGTAATGTGTGGTGAGGACTTTAGCCACTAAGCTATCACGCTGGGCCTCTGGCTCATGAACTTTTTAACTGCCATGTTAGTTGTTATTGTTCTACAACTAGATGACTGCAAAATTAAAGTGAGTTCTTAGAAGCTCTGAGTGTAGTTTGACAATGATTTCTGTCTACTATATTTAGTGATTAAAAAATAATGTTCATAATGGCCTTGCTGTTTTACTTCTCTACTAATTGCTTTGTACAATATTTTACTAAATTATTAGTCTATGATTTCCTGGAAATCTGAGAAACCATAGTGGTCCTTCCCTACAAAGGATTTTGGAGAAACTGACTTAGAAGACAAGACAGAATCTCCAATTGTTATGATCCTCTACTGCACTCTCTCCCCTCTCTCCCTCCCCTTTGTGTTCTAAGTTTGGGCTCTTTGGTTTGCTGCTTAGATGTGCCCTCCTCTTGCAAGCCTCTATGACTTGCTGGAATATGATATTGGAGATGGAGCTCGGCCTGGGCCATCCATAGTCCTCTCTGCTTTCCCATGATGGCCACAGCATCCTATGTTGAGTCAGAGAGACAGCTCATTTTCCATCTCACTCTGGGGATTATAGGTGCTCAGAGAGTGGGGCTGGATCTGTAATGCATGCAGCCATAGGTCATAGATGTTCAGTGGATATCTGTGAATTGAGTGATTTCATCAGTGAATGATGGAGTAGATAATGTGGAACTGACTTCAGTCTTTAAGAACCTGTTACATATGAGCAAACCTTTCTCTGCTTAGAGAGTACTAACAGTTTGCTTCTTAAGTGGGCCAGCTTAAATCTCTTTGCTCCTCCTGATCTTTGAGGCATCAAGACCCACCTGCCAGGTCTGCCTAATGTCAGAATTTAGGATTAGATAGCTCTTCTGACCAGAATCTATTCCAACATTCACCATACCCCTATTCAGTTCTCCAGAACTAGAATAATCACTGAAAAAACATTAAAAATTGTGTCATTTTTCTGCTTGAGATTCCTGAAAGACCCTGAATGATCTGATTCTACTTGTCCAATATCTTATCTTGTATCTTCCCATCTACTAATGTGATTAGATGCCTATCCTTTTCAGCTTATTGAGTGTTTTTTATTAACCCATTCAGCGAACTGAATTTTGCCATTATTATCCCAGACAAAACTTATCAAACAATAAAACTTTACAAAGTAGCTCCTCTGCCGACATTATCATCTTTTAGCATTTTGCCATTTCTTTAGTAAATTTTAATTTCCACGGTTTTTAACTATATATAAATTTGTGATCTTTTGCTGATTTCTTTCTCCCACCAGAGAATTCAGTGACATTGGAGTGTATGTGTTTCCTTTGCATCTACAACAGTGATTGACGTCTAAGTGTATCAATAAAAGAATGATCAAGTTTCTATCATGTACTTCATTTTTCATAAGGCAGATAACTTACTGGTGAAGAATTTCTTTAATGAAAGAACTTGAAAGTGTTTATGGAAAACTAGAATTGAAAGATGCTGTGTTCTCAAAACTCATGTATAATGTTTTCATGATACACATTTTAATGAAGTTTTTGAAGACCATTTATAGGCATTATTAAAATTTTTTGGTGACAAAATAATTTATCCTTTAATTACATTTTCTATGAACTTTTGAAGTATGCTTGCACAATTGGTACCTGTAAATAAACTCGCTTCATTTTTAACCTGGCAGATACAAAATTCAATGAGAGGTTATTTACAAAACAATGAGGATCATGGGAAAAATGTGATCTCTAGAGTACATAAGAAGTGCCACTGAAGAAATATTTCAGCTAAAACAAGAGGATAATGAACTACAAATTAGCTTTGTTTCCCAATCTGTAAAATTATAAAACAGATATGCTGGTTCCTGAGCTCTAACATTCTAGAAATCTGTTCCCCTATTTTTTTTTTTAAAAAAGCTTTATTTATTTCTATTGGAAAGGCAGATATACAGAGAGGAGGAGAGACAGAAAGGAAGATCTTCTATCCAATGATCCACTCCCCAAGTGACTGCAACGGCTGGTGCTTAGCCAATCGGAAGCCAGGAGCCAGGAACCTCCTCCAGGTCTCCCACACGGGTGCAGGGTGATTGACTGCTTTCCCAGGCCACAAGCAGGGAGCTAGATGGGAAGAGGAGCTGCTGGGACTAGAATCAGCACCCATATGGGATCCCGCACGTGCAAGGCAAGGACTTTAGCTGCTAGGCCACCGCGCTGGGCCCTGTTCCCCTATTTGGTTCAGAACATGTTGTTTAGGAAAACTATTGACCTCTCTCCTTTTTCATTAGGTATGAGAGAAACATAACATCTGCAAGGTGGAAATAACTGCCTTGTTTGTGCAAGAGTGAGCGTGAGATGCGACAAGCACATGACCCATAGTGGAGTGTATGATTCTACCACACCTGAGAACACAGCATCTGCCAGGTTTCCAGCCCACAGCACAGTTAGTTCATTAAACATGAATTATGTTCAAAAGTAAAAAGAGAAAAAAAAAGTCAGATATTTAAAAAATGTTTATTAAATAATAAATAAAATACTTATAGAGGTACATTTTCTGAGGATCTCTCAATATTAAGTAGTGCAATTGAAGAGCAGGGGCGTGGTCTGACAAATGTTCCGTGACACATGAGCAGCTCCTTTTCAGCCATAGCAGCTTCAGGAGTCACAAGTCATTCTGATGCATAATAAATAAGGTGACTAATTTTAACATTTCTTTTAAAAGACCCACACATATCTTCTCTTGCCTAACAAAGCAGCCAGCTGTTACTCTTAAATATGTGAGTTACCCTCTTGGCATTTGGGTCAAACTCATACTGTGAGGATCCACTGAAGAAGTATAAAAACCCTGCAAACATAAGACGGAAAAAAGAATCATTCTTCAATGAACCCAATTGAGTAACATATACAACTGAAAAAATGCAAGCTCATTATGTTTGGCATTTATTGTAACTCTGTATCAGACATTGTATTGAGGGATTTTTCCCATGATAAAATCTATAATGAAACACAGAAGGGGGGTGCCGTCTTGTCTGACTCCAAAGCCAGTCTGCTGAAATGGAGATCAAGTGGCTTCCAAATACAATTCAATGATACATGAAAACCTTAGTTCATATTCTTTTCTTCCAAAGATCTCCTCTGACTCAAAGACCTAAGTCACAGCTCAAGAGGCAACTGGGCTCAATTGAAGCGGATCAATTATACAATATACTTAGAGATCCAGTTCCTGCTTTGTGTACATTGTAATCAAGTCATTTTAGTAACTGGAACAGCAAGCTCATGAACATGATAATTGTTAGGAGATTCCTTTTCAGTCTGCAAGCATAAGGTTTGCTTTCCTTTCTTCCCATTACCAGGAATCTTTTGTCTATTTTGAGCATATGGCAAAACAACTATCTGTTTGCAAGTGACCAATGTAGACAATTTCAGATCACAACAGACACCCAGACATGGTTCCTTGGGGTGTTGTAGGAGAAAATGGACAACCGGATGGTGTAGTTTAATAAACCTTGTTAACACTTGTTTAGGTCTAATGCAGTGATCTGGTAATGATTGCAGTGTGAGGAGGAATTCTTTATTTTTGTGTGCAGTATGAATCAGAGACTTGGAAATTGCTCAAGAAAAACAAAAGTTGGACTCAGTCTGTATGAACTAAAAAGCAAAAATCCCAGAAGTATGGAACAGAATAAATGAGTCTGAAAGAGCTGAACGTTGTTTTGATTTGTCAAACCATTTTATAGTGTAAACTTTCTGCAAGTGGCCCCATGGGCTGTGAAATGAGACTCTTCTTACCAAATGCTTCTAGTACAGCATCAACCTTTGGCTCAACTCCAGGAAAGTCATCCTCTATCCGTCTGGGGAAACCTCGCTCCATAGTCTGGGTCTTTTCATCAAATCTGCACCAACAAAGACATATATATCAGCCTTGCGTAGAGGCCCATTACACACAATGATACAATTCAATGTTAATTTTCCAGTGTGGGTTTCTAGATTAAATTTTCCAATTGTGCCAAGAAGTGTCAATCCTTTTTAGGACTTCTCTGAGCTACAAGCTTAGCACATAAAACAATATATAACCAGGAAATAGGAACATGAAACTGTCACACGGAGCCCTGCACATATATTAGAGTTCAATGTTTAAAGTCTGAACGCATGAAACTCAAGTGCCTATCTGTCAAAAACACATGAGGACGAAACACAAGTTACAAGTGGATTAAATCACTTGCCTAAAAGCAGACTTGTGTTTCTCTATCATGCTGGGACCTCAGGCCATGTTTGTGAGCTGGCCGGTCACGTGGTGACTGGCCATGTCCTGAGAATTCCATGTGCCCCTTGGTTCTTAGGTGGGCTTTCCAGGTCTAACAGTGTCTGAAAGGCTTTTGTATTTGAGAACTTGAAATACTACAACCTGTGTGTCTCATCTTCAGAGAAGCCAAAGTTACAGGAAGTTACAGTATGGGTATTTGTCTTAAAGAGAGAAATTTTTTTTCCTAATTAGCTTTATTCAAATCATTCCTATTGAATCTCACCTCCAATATTTGTCCTCTACAAAGAAGTATGTTTTCTTTTGTTCCTTATTAGAAATGGCGGCATCAACTTTCCTAATGGTTGCAGGGAAACCCAGGGTGTGAATGTTTCTTGGGTAACCAGCTTGCACTTCGTTTCCTCTGACGGCCCAGAACTTATTTCCTATTCAAATACAAATCCAAAAAGTTTTGAGTGAAATTTTCTGGTTTTAGAAATGATTATAATGCATTGTTTTGATAAACTAATGTCAGTTTAAATTTCAACCACTAAACCCTCACCCAGTTCACAGCACACATTTAATAAATACACCTACAATGAATAAGGAAATGAATGAATGAACAAATGTGAGTATAGATGTCTGGTTTACTGCCCTCTCTATATCTTATATTTATCATGTATAAAATGAGATGACTTGTTCCAACTATTTCTTGTAATTGCAGGTAATAATGTAAATTTCTAACCTAAACTTCTCTTTCAAACTTCACACCAATGGGCTATTTGTTTACTGGACACTTCCTCTTTGATATCTCATGGTCAACAAGCCTGGTGAGTGCTTCTGCTGACTGAATACTACAGGAATCCACTCAATTTTGAGTGAATAAGGACAAAGGAATCAAACCAATCTCTCTGTCTTTACTTTCTTACATGATTCGCTCATTGCTCCAAACCTAAATCTCTTCCTTATACCACTGCCAGAAGAACTAACCTAAGATGCCAAACTGCTCTGCACCTTTCTTCCCCTGAAGTACAGCCCTTCATTGTTGCTACTCCCTCTATAGCATATGCCCCTTTGTCTTCTCCACTAATGAGCGTCAAGTGTGGCACATAAAAAATAAATTAATTCCCAATATGTTAGTTATATGACTATATCAATTCAAGTGAATATACACAAAATCTATACCTGAAATATGCACAAAATATTATAAAATTTTGAAATATACACTTGAAATATGCACAAAATATACACAAACATACACTTGAAGTGAATCTACACAAAAATGAAGTCTCAAAAATAAATATTTCTTTAAAAACTCCTATATAGTTTGACATATAAAAATATTCTCAAGTAATTAAGAATCAAGGGAAACATTTAAACTGGACATAAAAACACCTTAAAAGTGAACAAAGTAAGAATATTATGAATATTCCTAGAAGGAAGGGGAAGATGGGAATATGTAGATATAAATGCTGATATTGAAAAGAGAGGTGGCAGGTTGATAAAGCAAATGTCAAATTGAAGTTATAAGAATAATAGAACAAATCCATGGAAAACAAAACTACAACAAACATAAGGACAGAAACCTATTTAATAAGAAATCAAAATACAACATAGAGTCCCAGCAAGGTCAAGAATTAAGTATCCTATGATGCTGGTGAAGAAAGGAAAGATTCAGTATTCAGAATGAAAAGAGACAGAGAATTTTACCAGTAATTAATTATAACAAAAAAACACTCTGAAAACTTTGTGCCAACTGATTTGAAAAGAAAATTGGCAAATTCCTGGAAAATACATTAACAAACACTAACTCAAAAAGTAATGGAGGCTCACTGCATTTACTAACAGAACTAATAAATTGGAAGAGTAGTGTCAGATACCTAACCAAGGAAGCATCGGGCATGAGCGGTCCCCTGCACCATTACTACAGGAGCTTACTGATTAAAGAGTTATAACACAGGGTTTCTCTCCTCACTTTATTCTTCCATGGGAATATCTTGACTATTCTTGATCTCTGTTCTTTCACTAAGTTATGGAATCTTGTCAAGTTGCTTGTAAAACTTTTCATGCTTGAGTTGGAAATGCCTTTTATCTGTACCTAAATGGATCTTTTTTATGATTTTTGAATTTTCCTGATTATAATACAGGATGTCATTTATTTATTTTGGACGTCTCAGTTTTTAAAGCTGAATCTTGTGTTGGTGGGTTAAGCTGCCACTTGCTGTTCTGGCATCTCAAATTTCAGTGCTGGTTGTGATTCCAGCTGCTCTGCCTCTAATCCAATTTCCTGTTAATGTACTTGGGAAATCGATGATGTCCAAGTGCTTGACAACCTACCGCCCACACAGAAGACCTGAATGGAGTTCCTGGCTCTTGGCTCCTGTCTGCCCCAGCCTGGCTATTGGGCCATTTGCAGAATGAAGCAGTGGATAGAAACTGTCTTTCCCTCTCCCCACCCTTGTCACTCCATCTTTTGAGCAAATAATTAAATAAATACATATTAAAAAGAAAGCTTATAATATTGGTATGTATTTTATCTAATCATTAACACTAGGTCTTGCAGTAACATATTAGGTAAAATTTAATGCAACAGAGCAAACAAATGTAAATAAAATTTTTTGCAATAGGGTTTATTTCAGCAAATTAAAAATTCTGCTACAGCACTTACCTTTAAAAACAAAAACAGTGTCCTTGCTGCTGACTTCATAGGCAGCATCCAAATTTGAAGGCAAAGATGGCCAAAATGAGGAAATCAAATGCAGTCCAGGCTCAGGACTCCAGTGGGATCTTCGCCAAAAGTACCTGTGATGCACAAAATTTATTTGCAATTCCTTTCCTGTCTATCATCTCTATCTCTCTTTCCATATCTCTATCTCTATTCATATCTTAATCTACATCTATACCTATAAAGGAATATATTTTTCTGTTCTTTCAATCAATGCTAATCTGCCTGTTTGTAGGAGTCTGTAATTGGTCTGTCATTTGCATGTGATTCTAGTGTAGCAAAGCCTGTGATAATGTAGTGCTATATCAATACAATTTAGCTTGGTTCAAATCTAAGTCATGGTATGCCTCTATTAGTATTTTTCAAAGATACCATGTACCTACTTAAGCTTTCTGTGACGAGAACACCTTAGTAAAGAGACAGAGGCATCTGGTAGCACTGGTTGCACATGTGGAGGGAACTGTGAGACTATAGGTCAGAGATGGGAGAGACATTTTTGTTTTAATTCTTACAGCAATGTTTGAAAGTTGCAACCATAAGACTACATACTTTTTTCTTTCAAACTAATTCAGCAGCTGAGAAAAATCTAAAATTTCCAGGCTGTATCTGGGTCCTTGGTTGGCATTACTGAAATGAGATTAAATCATTCTGGGAAATTTATACATGGAGGTTCAATTGCATGTGCCAGCTTGCTGATTGCCTCCAAACTGGAATTAAAATGCTGAACAGACTCCTTTAGTATAGCAGTCATGCCCCAGCATTGCTTCATAGAGAATTAAAACTGTCCAAACTGCTAATACTTTCAATGCATCCACAGAAATACAAACAACAAATTTTATGTTTGTGACATTTAAGCCTTTAACGAAATGATACTGGATTTGGCAGGGGAAAGTTGTTAGTCATTACCATTACAGTCCTACAAAGGTGGTAGATATATGACGTGAAAATTTTAAGATACTCTCATACAGTACATTGGTGTTATCTCTTTCAATATCTGAGGATGATTTTATCTCAAGGTGTGAAATGCTAGGATTCAGCCACTGGAATCCCTGAGACCCTATGTCCTGAGAACAACAACAGGATGGAAGCAAATCTCTTTTTAGCATTTAGGATATTTGTTCTTTTGCTTATCTGAGAACACAAACTAACTTTAAAAATCATGTTAAATAAATTATCAATGAAAAGTAAAGTAATAATAAAATGCAACAAGAAGCAGATCGGAATGATTTCTAAATGTAGAAGAAACAGATTGCTTAAAAAATTGTCATGTGTCTATTTTCCTTGCCAAGCATGGCACACCTGAAGAAGACAGGAAAATAGATTTTTGTTGCCTGACCTGTCTTTAAAGAACAGGATTTCTCCTCTGAGAGTGCTGACGGCATCGAAGGACAAAGCTGGATCACATTTAGCTGGTGTCTTAGATCTTGGGGGGACAGGTTCTGTGGGTGTCACGTAGTTAGTTTTGGGGGTAGTTGGAGCTCCTGAAGGGAACAAATTGGGGAATGCAGGCATTAGAAAACACGTGAAACATCTGTCAACTCAGATGCTTTCACAACATCATAAAGGTAACCTGGACTCAAACATAATGTGGTAGCACTAACAGTTTTCCTAAAGACCATCACTGTAAAACTGTGCTGAAGACTAACACGAAAGTATAGACATAGCATGCTGCATCTCTCACCATAGAGGAACTGGATTCCATCCACATCATCTTGAGAGAGGCGGAAGCCGGCCAGGTCCTTGAAGGATCTGTAGACTGGGTACATCAACGCCTCAGGGTTGGCTGAATGCATGAGACCCAGGGCGTGACCAAGCTCATGAGCAGCAACAAAGAATAAATTGGTCCCTATTTGAAAAACAATAATGTCCAGAGTTTAGCAAATTATGTAGTTCACAAATGCACACAAAAGAGTACTGCAAAAAAATTAAGAATAATAGAAAGGTAAGATCATTTTGGTAAAAGAGATTTGAAATTCAGTGTTTTTTCACAACACACATTTTCATGAATATTTGAAGATCCCCACCATGTGTGGATTTCAATTGTTTGTAGCCTTTTTCCACAGTTACTGAACTTTTCTAGTGTACAAGAACTTATAGATTGGTTCATTGATTACATATTCCATACTTCATAGAAATTCATGTGTTTCAAGGTTTAGTTGAAATAAATATTTAAGACAATTTTTTCATATCCTTCCCTATTTCCCACCTTGGTTAGAAAAATCAGGTCATTATTTTCTTTATTTGAAGTGATAAACTCTCTTTCTAAAAAAAATTCCTTACAAGGATTCATTAAATGCCATCTCTTTATTTCTGAAAATAAAAGTAATCATTCAAATTTTGTAACTTGTATAGGTACAATCTCACTTGAGATGAGTCAGAGAACTTATGTTTTTTTCCTCAACTTTTAAGCAGTGAAACTTGCTTAGTTTCTGTACATCAGGATTTAGCCCGATTTTTCCCTTTTCTTTTAATCAGACAACTTTTGTTGTTAAAATCTCCCCAGTAATTCAATCTTCAGTTTAAAATATAAACATTTCCCAAAATAGTTTTCTAGAGTACAAATACAGCTGAACGTAACTTTTCTTTATATTTACGAAAGATAATTTTATGAAGTTAGTAGTAGAGGTTATTTAAACAAGGATATAAGCAATAATACAGAAAAGCATGGTTGTTTAAATAAAACTAGATGAATTCATGCTGCACAAACTTAAGGTTTGTAACCTCAGCAAAGATGTTCTTTGCATGTATGTTAAAGATTCCAGTCAGAAACCTTAGAAACAGTGATGGTTTTGACAACGTGTTTCCAAAACAGAATCCAGTAAAAAAAAAAAAAGTAAACAGCATGCAGTTAATTTTGGTCCTGTGTTTACACTTGTTCTTTCAGAATCAACTTGGTGGTGGTGGGAAGCGTGTCTAAGTTACAAACAGCGAAGTGTTAATTTAAGCAGATGATATGGTACTTTTCTTTAGTTCTTAGCATTTTCTCCCAAGAGAAAACAAAGTGAAAAAGACGCCCAAGAGTCAGCACTGGCTCAGTGGGATTTCTTCTGCACTGATCATTTTTAATTAGAGTGATACAAAAACATTGCTAATTATGCTGATCCTGAAACACCCTCCTGTTCCTGAGTTGTGGAAATAGATTGATGGTGTTTACCAGGTAGTTTTGGGGGAAGTATTTTATAAAATTTTTTCAGCAATGATTGAAAGAAAGAATACTTTTGGTACCATTCAGATAGTCAGACATTTTAGTTGTTATGATATTCCACTGAATGTTCATCCAGGATAATCAAATTACCCTTGGAGATGGGATTGTAAATATTCCTAAAGTATCTTGAAAAGATGATGACCCACCTGCTGCCTTCTCTGTCCATTTTTCATCATCATCAAAATGCACGTCTCCATGAATCCCGGACCCAGGTGGGTAAGCATGAGCCAAGGTGGCTCCTGGTCCATCGAAAGGATAAAAGTCTCCATGTTCTGACAAGGGAAGAAAATGAATCAAAACATAAGTATCTAGAATTTCCTTCTCTGTCCAATGGGCCTGATGTCATGGTCTGAATGTCGCTGTCACCTCACAATTCTTACACTGAAACCTAATCTCTAAAAGTGACCTTCTTCAGGGATGTGGGTTACGGGATGGGACATAAGGAGGCAAGAAGGCTAGAAAGTTTCCATGAATAGGATTAGTGTTCTTATTAGAAAGGGTTTAGGGAGAGTGCAGAAGGTACCATCAATAAAGAATATACCCTCACTAGACATAAAATCTGCCAGCACCATGATCTTAAACTTCTCAGCCTTCAGAACTATAAGAAATAAGTATTTGTTGTATATAAATTATCTAGTCTATGGTTTTTGGAATAGAAGTCTGAAGTGTAAGAGTATAAGAGAGTATAAGAGTGTAAGATAAGAGTATATTTTATTTCATTTCATTACCTCCAACTGCAAAAGAGATCATGATGTCAGCCTCTCCCTCCTGCATCCTGGAGAACGTGAGTGGAGTCACCTCCTTCCACACTCCCAGCGCTTTCTCAATGGCGGCATCAACTGCCTCTCTTGGCAAATCCGGTGTGTAATTCACAATCCTGTGTGAGAAAAACGGAAGCTAACACTTTCTCTTCCCATGGCAATGCACAAAAGTTTAGAACTCTGTGGAAACAGCTTTGGACTCGTTACCTGTAAGTGAGGTGAGTTTTGCTCCACTTGGGGGTGCCAGGGAAGGTAGTGAAGTGACCAACGTCAGGAACGCCACACCTGGGCTTGCGTATCATCTCCAGGGTGTTGGAGTCCAGCTTGCCTGTCACCTCCAAGCCAAGGAACTTCTGCATTTCTCGGATTTTGTTATCAATAGGACTAATGTCCTTTCTTCTATAAATACTCTCCACCTTTTTTGTGAGATTGTAGTAATTCTCCAGGTATCGCTAATGGAATAATAAATGTAGAACTTATTCATTATTATGATTTTTAATCATTTACTGAATTCTTATGTTTAGATTATTCCTGCTGTACTGAGACAAAAACAATTAACACTTAATTCCTTTAAAATGCATTATTTTATTGTTTCATTGCAATTTAATTAGCTAACCAAGTAAGAAATTTGGCGGGATTTTGTGAATATTTTGGGCAAAATTCTTTTTTGCCTTAGACTGTTAAACACTTAATTCAAGAGCAAAATGAGGTAAATTAATTTGTTAAACATTACACACAATAATCTACCATTACTACCTGATGTTTCCTGGGGATCAAAATTAGCCAGCTGTCCTTCTCCAATTGTTTTAAGGAAGAATTTCTAAGACCTAATAAGTTTCATATATTTTCCACTTGCTATTTTCATTTAGCCCCAAAGCTGCTGCCACTATTTCCTTTTCACTGTTGGTGAATAAGCATCCTTCCTCTGCTTTGCTTTCCTACTGTCTTACAAGAGGGGAATGTTCATCCTTAACACTTTAGCATATCAATACTAAACTATTCCACCACAGTCACTTTTAACCAAACTTTCCTTTTGTATTGGAAGAGCAAGCAAGTAGATTTGTTTCTCCTCTGGGGCTGCTAGTGGTTGCAGTAGGTTCCACCGGTAATTACCTGGGCAAGATCCATGTTTGCGTCCTCTTCTTTTCCGTCCCCATTCACAGGATAAGCAGAGCAAACCGACAGACCTAACAGCACAAGAGTAGCAAGACGGTTCATTCTCTTGATCCTCACTGACTTCACCTTCAGGAAAAATGCCTTTCCCGTCTTGGCTTCTATCATTATGTCCTAATGATCTCCCTTTTATAGGAAAACGGTGTTTAGATCAAAAGAAGCATGATTCAACCGTTGTGTTTTTAATCTGAATGACAGCAGAAATGCTCAGAAAAATTTGACGTAAAGCCTACACAGTAATTTACCTCTACCTCTTGAAAGAATGATTAATTTCCAGGAAATAGTTGTTGCATTTGTAAGGAGGAAGCAGAATTAACTTGATAAGTAGTGTTCATGTGTTTACTGAGAGAGAGAGCTGACAAATCTGGTGAGATGTCAGATGTTTAGCAATTTCAAAATCGGTGCAATTTTTTTTCTTAAGAAGGCTTAGTGGAAAGATGAGTGGAAACAAATGAACTAGTGGAAATAAATTCCAAATACCAATGTGGTCTAAATGTGGGGATTGCTCTCTAGGAAGATATTACAACAGATCATTTCTGGAGTCCTTGTTTAAAACAGCTGTTGGTAATAGTCAGATGGACTTTCTGGTGTTGGAGCAGGATTCTTGCAAAAAGGATGTGGGCCTGAGAAGACGCAGTAAGTGAACCCTCAGTGCTCATTCATTGTCCATTTTAGAATGGAACTGATATTCCTGGGAACTATCCCATTAAAACTTGATCAATTGAAATCAGTTATGCTGCTTGCTACAATGAAACATTCCACCTAACTTCTCTCTCTCTCTCTCTCTCTTTTATTTAAAATAAAAGGAGGACAAACATTGGGTTTTGAAATGGGAAAGAGTTAAAATCTTTTCTTTCATTTATTTAACCACCTGCCTCTGCCCATATATAGCATTTTATTTTATATTTCATCATTCAAAAGGAGGGCTTTTCCTACAGTAGTAGAATTTACCATAAATGTTTTGTCAATTCAAGCAGTTATTATAAAGGACTCTAAAACTCTTGTAGTATAGAATTACATTTTTCTTTCAGGAAAGATAAACTAACTTCAGTATTCCAGAAATATGTAACTTTAAGGTAATGGGAAACAAAATAATCACATGTGTAGCATTGGCCTCTTCTGTATCACCCATCATTTTCATTCTACTTAATGATGGTGCAATGGACAGTAACTGGAGGCTCTGAGACCTCCAAGTTGGAATTGGGAGAATCTTTAATGCACACTAAGCCCTGATTCAGCCAAGCCATAATGTTGCTTCGTGCAGTTAAGAAGTTTGCTTCATGCTGGGTGGCATGGAACGAATATCAGTCAAAATTTAGGAGAATAACTGGACTCACACAAAGTCAGCTGGACTATGAGCAATTATCTAATTTCTTTAAGTCAATGCCTTGTCATATGTAAAAATGGAGACAACTTTATAGGGTAACTCAGTATATGTAATTCTGGGAAGAAAATCTTATTTCACCCAACATCTCCCATAAAGCTTGCTGGCCTCACCTATCTATGCCAGTGCCTTTAGGCACTATTTGGCAAGTTCTGAGATGTCTCATTTTTCTTTTTTTTGGTCTGGGTCATAATTTGGTTGCCGTTGGCATATCCTGCTGGTAGATCTTAATATGCAGTAACAGTATAGTGAGAGTTATATTGCTAATGAGATAAACACTAAACCACATCCATCACAAGAGTGATGTTGGTGTTATCCTTCCATCAATTATCATACCTGGAAGAAGGGGAATCCTGTTTGTCTTTCAGTAATTTTTTACTTGTTAAACTATTGTCAGTATTAGATAGCAGGCCAAGCAGTAGCACAAATCCCTCCTTTTAAAAAAAAGTGAAATTCCTAGTTATAGAGTTCCTATCATATTCCAGAACCCAATTTTTCATTTTTAGGACAATGCAGCAATGGATGTGGTTAGGATCCTGAAAACTGAGTGATAAACTCAAGGTCAGTTAGCTAAAATGTTCTTTTGCTGTCATCATTGACATTCACCCCTGAATCTGTTTTTTACTTGACATATGCAGCTTCTGTTCTTTTCCCCATTTTATTGTCTTGGTAGTGTACTTGCTTCTGTGTCCAACCACCGTTAGTGCCTGCAGCTCCCCTTGGCCTGCGATGTACTGATGCCTCTGAGATACAACATATGAGGGATCTTCAGGAAGCTCGGGAAATAGGTATATTATAAAAAATGTAAATCTTAAAAGTTTTTGTACAAAACACACTTACCTTTTTAAAACAGAACAAACTGTGTTTAATGCTCAAATTTCATTAAACTATGTGCAGTATGGTGATTTTGCTAAGGGTTTAATCCTACCTCAGAAATGATTGCTTAGCAACACTCAGCACCAATTAAATTCTTAATTGAATAAGTACAATAGTAAATAAAATGTACTGAAAAACTTTCAAAGATCAATCTTAATGGTCCTTCTATTCAAGTTAGTGAGAACTATAATAAGGGCAGATATGCCAGTTTAACATAATTGGCTGATTTTATATCATCAATTGTATCTTTTTGTCTAATATTTTATCACATGATAGATAACATTTAATACAATCATTTTGGTAAACTTGGGAAAGGAATGTCTAATAAGGAGACTACAGGTAACATCTTTTATACCCACCAAGTAAGTCTAAAGAGGAAAAAGCCAATGCCTTCCTTCACAAGAGTTCACAATTATTGTTGCATTGTTACCAAAATCTGCGTTTGGGACCTATTATCAGCACTGAGGGAATTTTCTGGTATCCAAACTAATGACACAATACTGTATTCAAAACTACCTCAACCCAGGAAACAAATCAGGCAAGTCACATTCATGAGCATTTTCTCTACTACACTATTGTAAAAAGTCTCAGCACCACAAAGAATCCTCTTGTTTCATCAGCAACGAAGTGTGTAGCCACACCTTTCCTACCAAATCAATCTTCCCTTCCAGTTCTATTCATTTTCTGTCTATCCCCCTCATTTTAAAAAAGGTTTTAAAGATTTACTTATTTGAAAGTCAAAGTAACAGTGGGGTGGAGTGGAGGCGGGGACCAGAGAGAAAGAGAGATTTTGCATCCACTGGTTTACTTTCCAGATGGTTATAACAGAAACCAAGAGGAAGGAGCTGCTTCTTGATGTCGCATATAGGTGACAGGTGCTTAAATACTTTGGCTGATTTTGCTGGGGCTTTCGCAGGTAACTGGATCAGAAGTGGAGCAGTTGGCTCATGGATTGACATTAATATGGGATGCTAGGAATTGCAGGCAGCAGCCTTACCAGCTATGCCACAGTGTTGGCTTCTCACTTTACTTATTTTTATAAACCTTGTGCTGTTTCACATCCTAAATTACACAATACCATTTCTAAGAACAATCTCATCATCAACTGCTGCAATCAACTCCTGTGAATGTAGTTTGCACGATCATTAGGTATGATATGATCATACCAAAGACACCTGTTCCACTTCACTCCCATGAGCCAATACATCTGTAGTGATAAGAGGCCACCTTGACCATGATTGAAGTTCTTTTCTGATGCCATCTCTTTCCTTCTGATCCAGGTCACCAGGCAGAGCAGACACTGTGGAGTCTGTAGTGTGCATTTTCTCAATGAGACAGCACTCACTTTGCACCTTGCTTTGAGGAAAACAATAGCCAGCATCAAGATCAGTGCTTCCTTATGACTTGTATCACAAAGTTATTCAGCCTCCAGTCCTTCTTTCAGCATTAATATAGGACTATTTCTTTCAACGGTTAATTCTCCCTTCACCAAAATTGAGGTTGGCTGTCATGATTTTTTTAGAAATATACCGTGTCTAACATATCAATTGGCATTGTGGCAGAAAGCAATGCAACCTGAATACTTGTATTCAATTCATGAAAAATCTCAAAGATTTTATCCTTAAACCCTCAGTAAACATTCCATCCACTTTGTTCACAACAAATACAAATGGTCTGTTTTGGAGAAGGGTTATTCTCTGTTTAATCTTTCTTGGATTTACCAACAGCAATGTCTGTCTCCCCCCTCATTTTTTGCTTCCTGATTTTCATGTTTAAGGTTTGTTCTACCCATGCATGCATGACAAATTTTTCCCAGATAATCCCTAAGTGCCAGAATTACCATTTATATATTTTCTACCAAGAAGAACCTTTTTAAACAAGTTTTTTTTTTTTTTTACTACTCTCTTTGCTTAGTAGCTGAAGGCTTCTTAAAACCATAAGCAAGGACACATTGAGGATGGGACTCTTTAAATTCGTATCATCAAAGTATCAACCGGTTCATTGGGATTGCTCTTGTTCATAACATTGAGGTCTGTTTCCTCTGGATTGCCACGTATCCTCTTATAATCTGTGGAGTCACCGGGCATGTCTGAAGAGTCACTCAGTACAAGACTGGAAAAGTAAACATATTTGTAAAATCAGATTTTCCATGCTTTTTTTTTAAGTACCTGCATGTGTCTACAATCCATTACAATGATTATGACTAACAAATGTATCACTGGGGCCAGTGCTGTGACGTAGCAGAGAAAGCCATTGTCTGTGGTACTGGCATCATATATGGACACCAGTTTGAGTCCCAGTGGCTTCACTTCTAGTATAGTTCCTAATACACCTGAGACAGCAGTGAGAACGGCCCGAATCCTTGGTTCTCTGCATCTACAAGGAAGACTCAGAAGTAGCTCCTGGCTCTTGGATTCAGTGCAGCTTATCTCCAAACATTGTAGCAGTTTAGGCACTGAACTAGCAGAGAGAGTCCTCTCTGACTCTCCCCCTCTCTCTGTAACTCCTGCAGCAAATGCATAAATAAAATTTTTAAAAGTAAAAAAATAGATCATCAAAACTTCTCACTTCCAGGTGATTGAATTATTGGGAAAATTTGTTTGTTATCATTTCCCAATATCCAATAATCTGTGGTTTTAGGAATCTACACATGTACACAGGATCCTGTGTTAACTGTGTTGTAACATCCACCAATAGTTTACAAGTTTTTGTTTCATTGAAAGCTATTGGTCTTATTACAATGTTAGCTGAAATGACTAGGGTCTGGTTGAAAAATGAAAGTTAA